GCAGTTAGGTTAAATTATAAAAAGGAGAGGTAGAGAAGTACCAGAAGTGGTGCGACTTCGTTTCGCGAGGTGTTTGGTTCTCGCCATGGCTGCTGCTACTATTGCAGAGAAGAAGAACCAAAAGCAGATTTGAGTAACTTGTCAATGGAGGATTTGAATAGTTTGAGAAATAAACTGAGTTCCCGCTTTAATTTATTTTCGAAGAAGAATGAAGAGGTAACTGCACTCAACCCCTGTCACTGTCACTGGCATAATTTGCTTCTTTGCTTTTTCAATGATTTGAAATTTAAAAACTGCCGTTAGAGTAAAATTCTTTTACTCTTTCGTTTTTAGTTTAGTCTATTTATTATGAATTGGGAACCAAAATAAGCCATAAAAATATAAAAGTAATTAAAATAAGTTACTATTTTAGTAAGTAACTAAAATAAGCTTACTGGAAGAAAAAGTTTCACTATATCCAATTTTTTAAACGTTTTTCGTTATTATCATAACGTTTATTTTTAATATATAACTGAATTTTTTCTTACACTTTATAAAGTGAAATTTTTTATTCCACTTTATAATAAGTTACATTTTCACCTTCACATTCTCTCCCTTTCTTTTTCATGGCTTTCAAAAAAAATTCACTTTGAAGATGGTCCCATTTCGACAATTTGAAGCCGCCCCACACTAAACAAATCAAAATTTTGGAGTAGCACAACCCGACAACATACAACTCATATTCGTTGCTTTAGGTGCAAAAATAGATAAGATTGCAGCCTTGTACTTTGTAGGGAAATTTTATTAACCTTAGACTTAATTTAGTTTTGATTAGAAAGACATCTAAATTCATTGATAGAAAACTTTAGATTTATACGTTCTATAAAAGTTTTAATAGTAACACTACTTCAAAATAATATGAAAATAAAATAAAATAAATTAAGAAGCAGAATTTCGTAATATATAAGACAAAATAAAAGTATCTATGTCATAAAGTACACAAAAATTCATCTTTTTGTCTAGCTTTAAGTTGAAACATTTTCTGATTATTTTTTTCTTTTCGAAAAAATATCAACAAATCTGTCATAATTTTCCCACATGTGGATATTGTTGTTTGACTATTTCTGCACCAATATTTGTCTTGACTATCAACATACAATTGACTATTGTTGCAGGAGTGAAGTGTTTCAAAGCTTCCGTAACCTCGGCAACTCGACAAAAGACCACTCCCAACTACCATAGACTTTTCCAAAAGCTTGTTTGCGATCAAGATAGGCTTTTCTTTTACTTACTGAAATGTCATATGCTTTAAGATTAATTGTTTGACAGTCTTTGATGGAAAACCTGAAATTAATAATAATATTAATTATCAAATAAAAATGAATATTTCCTTATTAAATAAAAATCATCTAGCGATAAAATAGTATCTTGGCGTTCTTTCTATATCAACACGGAGGACGTTAGCAATCATCTCAACATCCAAGTTGAAATACCCTTCGCGGCACGTACCCATATCACATGTATGTTCTTTAATGTATCTTCCAACTTTCCACATGTTAGTATGTTTATCAATAAAAAAAGGGATAATGCCCAAGTTCCCCCTCAACCTATGCCCGAAATCTCAGAGACACACTTATACTATACTAAGGTCCTATTACCCCCTGAACTTATTTTATTAATAATTTTTTACCCCTTTTTAGCTTATGTGGCACTATCTTGTGGACCCAACGATGGTTGACTTTTTTTTCCAAACTAGTGCCAAGTTGGGTAAAAAGGGGTAGAAAATTACATATAAAATAAGTTTAGGGGGGTAATAGGACCTTAGTATAGTATAAGTGTGTCTCTGGGATTTCGGGCATAGGTTGAGGGGGTACTTGGGTATTTTCCCATAAAAAAAGTCAACCTAAATCGACATCCTTGTTCTACACGCTTGCAAACAAGTCGCCATGATTTCTTTGTTGATTTAATAACAAAGCACTCCCTTGCTATCTTCAAATGTAGAAGTTTAACTGCTCTTTGCAACTGCGTTTTTGAATTGAATAACATGTCTTTTTCAATATAAATAGCATCATTCATGAAATCTTCTGATTCATGCCACGTACGTTGTGATGTATATTCATCATGTGTATCACCAAAGATATCTGGACCATCCGAGAGATGATCAAGATAGAAATTTCATGATTACGAAACGGACTTATGGACATTGATCTTGGCGATCGATTGGGAGTCAAAAAATCATCATCACTAGATGATGCCTCAAATGGAACATTATCTCCTGATTCCTCAGCATTAGGCAAATCATCACTATCACTAGCTGAAGGTGAGCCGTAATTAGGAATATCACGGTCATTGATATTCACAGGATCAATAGGCTCATCTTGTGTAGTATTTTTCCTATATATGTAAAAAATATATAAATATTTGGCTCATGCAATTAACTTACTCAAATTAAAAAATAAGTGTTAGACATAGCGATAATCATCTGCATCAAAAGTAGGTGAGACATGAAAATTTGAGGATGTCCCAACATTTTCCGTCATTTCAAAGTGTGAGGACTGACCAAAATAATTATTTAGTCCATAACTTGAAGCAATATCCCTATCTTGCTGAGGTAAACCGCTACAAAATATATAATAATAAGAATAATAAATAATATAAATTAATAAATAATTGACAAAATCAACAAACAATAGTTGAAATATAATAATTGACATTACCGATCACTATCTTTGATAGTTTTGTTTAAATCAAAATCATATCGGCCGGTAAGAGTATTTTGATAATGAGTCATTTTAGGAAAATCAGTAGATTGAGTTATCGGAAATCCATCAATGCTATTATGATTTTCTAATTAGGGACCAACATCGATTGATAAAGGAGAACGTTGTTGACTAATGTTAGGCTCCTTCCTAACATAGATTTCAAGTATTGTTAATTTGATTTGATCTATAGTCATTTGGAACCCTCAAAATCGATTAACGATTCATCATTATATATAATTCACTCTCCAAAATTTACTTGTCCTTGTGATAAAAATGAAGAAGGGTATTTTCCGGCTATAATCAAATTATAATCGTACTGTTTATACCATTCTTTTATAAAATGATGAAATAAATTTATGATATCGAACATTTATTGAATATTTAGCATTGTGTTTGGGAGGACAATTATAATAAACGGTATTTCCGTCATGTATAATTTTGTCATCCCAATAAATTGAAACTTTAACTTAAGGTGTAGAAGACATTTTTTTTAGATTGAAATGAACAAATATAGAAGACTTTATGTTGTAGGTGCTATCAACTATGAATAAACGTCCTTAAATAGATTTTTCAGGATAAAAAAATAAAAATACATAATGAAATTTTTTTTCCATTTTAATGACATATCAAATCAATATAATTTATATGACAACACTGGAAAAACTTCTTCAAGACGTGAAAAATATTCTTCTTATAAAGTATAATAAAAAGTTTACTTTATAAAGTGGAATAAAAAGTTCCACTTTATAAAGTGGAAGAAAAAACTCCACTTTATAAAGTAGAAGAAAAAGTTCCGTTATATATTAAAAATAAACGTTATGAAACTAACGGAAAACGTTTAGATTATTGGATATGGTGAAACTTTTTCTTCCACTAAGCTTATTTTAGTTACTTACTAAAATAGTGACTTATTTTGCTTACTTTTATATTTTTGTAGCTTATTTTGATTCCCAACTCATTTATTATTTCAGATTAGAATTATTATTTTTTTGATTATTTAAAATTTAAAATCTTTGGTTGAAGTAAAATAGTTTTATTTTTATTTTCAGTTTAGTTTATTTATTATCTCAGGCTAGAATTACTATTTTTTTTCCGATTATTTAAAATTTAAAACCTACTGTTGAAATAAATTAGTTTTGCTTTTGTTTTCAATTTTGTCCATTTATTATCTCATGCTAGAATTACTACTTTGTTAGATGATTAGAAATGTAAAACCTATTGTTGGAGTAAAAATAAAATTTTCTTTTGTTTTCAATTTTGTCCATTTATTATCTCTGGTTAGAATTATTACTTTTTCGATTATTTGAAATTAAAAATCTACGATTAGAGTAAAATAATTTTGCTGTTCTTTTTTCCTTTTTAGTTTAGCCATTTATAGTCTCAGGCTAGAATTATTACTTTTTCGATTATTTGAAATTTAAAACCTACGGTTAGAGTAAAATAGTTTTGCTTATGTTTTTCAATTTAGCCATTTATTATCTTAGGCTAGACTTACTATTCAGATTATCAGAGTGTTAACGTTTTTCATTTTGTGTTAATTTGGTCATATTAGTTTGCAAAATTAAATATTTAAGGGTTTCATTTTGAATGAAATGCTCTATTTTTGTGAGATATATAAGTGTATAAATTTGGGGATTTTAAGTTGTTTTTTCCATTAAACAAATCTAGATAGAAGTTTTACATCTGATTATTTATTACGGCTTTGTTTATTTTTTTTCCATTCTTTATTAATTGTAGGGTTTCTAGACTATATTACTTCAATTATTTTTTAAAAGAAATCCCGTTTTATGCTTATCGAATTAAAGCTTCTAAATTTATTTTATTCGAAGAAGATTTTGAAAGAAATATTATTGACTTTATGTCTTGAATTTTTGGTGAATTTAATTTTTGATTGGATCCTTGAAAAGGTTTTGGTTCGGCCCAAAATTGGAGACCCGACCTCTTGTCATTTGGATCATCTTTTTTAAGTTTTTCACTTTGGTGTTTATTACTCATGTTTGAATCCGGTTAAACTCAAATTCGTATTGGAAGTCCCTCATTGAGAATTAAGTGCTTTCTAACAAAGACGATTTTTTCAGAGAGACTCGAATCTAAATTTCAGATAAAAAAATGAAGGAATACTTGAAAATATGAGATTTTGTGTTGGTCGTGAAGGGGCGAGGTGGGGGTTTGTGTAAATACAAAAATTTTAAAACTCAACACTAATTCAAAAAAGGCTCTCCTAGCTATTTCTTAAGACTGGGATTTTTGAAACATAAATTATAATCTCAAAACTTCCTCATTATTTAATGCCTGTATTAAATACATTTCAAATAAAAAAAGATAAAGCGAAAAGTGACAACACTATAGGAAAGGAAGCAGTAGAGTTTAACTTGGACATGCCTTGATCATTTGCTGTAGATACCCCTTAGACTCAAATATTGAGAAATAATCACTTCCAACCTAGAAGAAGTATAGCCATATGAATAAGCTATTCAGGTTAACGATATTCAAGTTTGATATCCATGTTCAGTATGCTCTCAAAGATCTGCCTAAAATGTAATTTTATTTGTAAACAACTGATAAAGATTTGTATCTACATAATATTCTACAAAGATGGAATACAAGACATATTAAAGTGTTGAGAACTATGATCTCTGCTGGCACTAGAGAAATTTTCTTCAAATGTTATGTAATATTCAAAATTTCACAGAGTAGGAGCTTACATTCCAAACTAGGCTATAGCTAGCTATGCTTGTTGTTACCTAGGCTATATGGCAGCCTGTGCATGTCCAGTTCTATGGTTGTGAAGGCATCGGCGATGTTGGAGGCTTGAGATCAGGATACTGCATGAATATAACACAAGATGTTAAACTAAGCAGAATAATGACCATTAAATATATATATAGCATATAGTTTATAGATTAGGAATCCCAGAATTTGAAAGAGGACCATCTTCAATCCATCGATAAGAAAGGGTGTGCTATCTAGGTAGCCACTATGACTGGAAGATATCGTGTGTGGCAGTCATAAAAAGAGTTGGTTAGAACGAAGTGATGAAAAGATCAGTTGAACATAAAAACGGAAACTTAACATTAGGATAAGGCGAGAGTGGCCTTGAACTTTCAGGTAGTGCATCAGCTTTGACTTCAGCGTTAGGGACTGAACTGACTTCTGGAGTAGGTGGGGAAATTGCTTCTACTTTAGGCGGTGCAATATCCTCTTTAGGAACTGATTCAGTTTCCTCAACAGTGCTGGTGGCTGCAGCAGGGCTTGCCTCTACTGGTGCAGGTAGAGCATTGCTACTCACCGAGTCTGGAAGAAGAGCCTTCCCTATTTGCTGATTTTTCAAGATGCAAGGAACCAATTATGAAGACATAGTTTAAAGCAAAACATTTTCTCCTCTGGAACGGGAAACGATAATCTTGCAAAGTTCTGTACATATGGAGATTACCTTAATCTCATCTACCAGCTCCTTTGGAGCAACCTTAGTGGTGAGGAACTCATCAACTTGTTGCAGAGTTTTCTTTCTGTCCTGAAAAGGGAAACTATTGCAATATTAAAGGACCTCTCACATCTAAAAACTTTGATCCCTATGATCATTATCTAATTTAAGTAAGACTAGGAAGAGTTGATCGATAAAGTCACTCATTTGACAGCAATTGAGAACTTTCTAATCCCTTTGGTTTATTCCTAAACCATTATGAACTGAAATGATTTATGCACGGAACAGTAAGTTCAATGCATAGAGAAAATATTATCTAGTAGTGTCAATTGTTTAACCCTCGATAATGGAGGAAACTGCATCCTCTTAGCAACAGAAGTAAATTAACAATTGCCTGATTTGAGGGCATAAAACAGCTCTAACTAAAATATACAAATCAAGAGTCGATCTCTCTTTGACGAGTTATTCTTCATTCATAAGTACAATTCATCTCTTGAGCATAATACGATTATCATAAAACACTTTTCAGATGCGATATGGCTACATATGCCAGTTGCAAGAGAAGTATTTACTGCGAATATCACGGACAAACCTCTGCAAACAGGAGTTTCTTGCTAACCAGTTGGACAAGTGCAGCTGAACCCAAAAGTTGGAGAATTGTTTCTACCTGAAAAAGGAACTGACAATAAGATGTCTACTAAATTGAGCTCAACATACGAATAAGGGATAAAAGAAGTTAGAGCTGACCTCTGAGAAGGCTAAAATCCCCAGACCAGTAGCTGCAGCAACACCTAAGCCTACAGTAACAGCATCAGAACCTTCCTGTATATTAAAAATGAGACTCGAGTTAAGAGTATGATCAAGTAATTCTAGACTACTAGTTCACCATATTGCCTCATGAATTTGATAATTTGTGATAACTTACCTAGTGTGTGAGAATGCATAAATGTTAACAATTTATTTCAGGTCTGAAACCACTAAGTTAGGGGACAAAGAATACTGACTGCATGAAGTTCATCAAGGAGGAGAACATTGATTTGGATGGGCTTCAGAGGAATACATGGAGAAGAAAGTGTAACATTAAAAACTTCTAGGAAGCGCAAAGGAGAGAGATTGTAATATGTCACTAGCATCTATCACTGCCATACCACTCATTAGGCGTTTTGTTTGAGAAATGTGGAGTGGAATGCCGAAGAACTGCAAAACAGATTTCGAGCATTTTCCAAATTTTCATGGGCATTCATAACCAAACATAACAAGAAAATATTGGGTATGCCTTAATATTGTCATGTTAAGAATATACCATTGCATACTCCATTTGCTAGCAAATTACTTGCTTGGAGTCGGAGAAAGACGAATGTAAATGACATTCTTGAACTCAGATAGGATTGTCAGATATGCTATTTACTATTTAGTAGCATGGTTTGGAAAGTGAAACATACCCCAAGAACACCATCAAGAGCATCAGACAGATTGCTCAGATCAAGACCCAATGTTTTCTTAGGAAGAATCCAAGGAAGGCTGCTGTTCTGCAGAAAGTGTAATTCATTAAGCTTCATGACCAGCAACTTGTTTTTAAATAAAAGCTAAGTCAACTAGATTTGTGAATCTAACCAGCCATCCCCGGGGTCCTTCAGCACCATCTTTAATTGCATAAGCAGCTTTAAATCCATTTTCTGTGACTAACTCCGCAACCAGTTCAGAGTTCCCATCAAATCTGGCTTCATTGAAATTCATATAGAAACAGGATCAGATTTAATTTGTTCGATAGCTGGCTAATACTAGACCTCAATAATAAATTTATTAAGGAAATTACATGTATGACAACCACATCTATAGAAACTTTTAATTTGCCTACTAATCTTTGACTTTGTTCCTCTAAACCCTCGATGCAACACCTAATAGACTAAAGACTAATAGAGCTAAACCAAACCCCAAAATCCAAGTAGATAGCCGAAAGTTCAAGATATACACATTGAGGCCTATGACTGACTAATTGGTAAGATGGTGAGCTCACTAATTATGTTAAAACACAAGCAATCCTCACTGAATTACTACTGACTTTTAATTACATCTTTCAGCTAAGATTTCAACAAGTTAAGCTACATACCTACATATTATCAAATCAAAATACAATCAAGCAATTCTTTTCAAATCTTACTTGTCTAGAATGAACAATGTAGTATTCTCAGGCTCCTTGAACTTCAAAGACAGTTTTTTTAAGAAACCAGTCTTATCTTCAGCCTTATAAACAACAGTAACTGGCTTTTTCTTCAAACCCCTAATATCAGGAGTCCCTACTTCCCTCAATTCTGCAGTTGCTCTTATATCAAGCAACTGTGCACCTGCATCATCTGCCAATTTTGCATAAGCTGTTTTGGCAGACTCAACACCCCATGACTTGGGAGGCTTTCCAAGAACCTGAAACAGAACAATTGGCAAAGCCAAAGCAGCAAATCCACCAGCTATAATAATAGGATTCTCTGATGCAAAAGTGGTCACAGTTTCCACAACTGCAGTTGCATCAAACTCAGCACCTGGGATTGTTTCGGATTGTTCAATTGTCTCCTCATATGTTAATGCTTTAGCTAAGCCTGTATTTAGAACTGATGATACAAGTACTAAACCCCCTTGAACATTTCTTGATAAATTCTCAACTGAACAAAGATTCTTGAATGGGAAAGAAATGGGGTGTGATGGGATTTTCTTGGCCTCATTTTTCCTATCAGAACGAACAGATAGAGGTGTCAATCTTACAGCATTAATTGCCTCCATACTATAATTTCTTTGTCACAGTTCACTCTGAAATTTCTATGTAGTCTTAAAGGGAGTTGATTTGAGGAATTGTAGTACAGTACTAGCTAATCTTTTTTTTCTTTCTATTAGATTTTGGCATATTTCATCATCAATAGGTGCACTTTGGCTGGTGTGCATTGAAGCTGTGTGTGTTGGGGGGTGGGGGGGTTGAGGTGGAATGAAAGAAGGATATCCCACCACTTATTGGATTCCACGTGTCATGGAAGGATTACATGAGGGCTGTTGATCATGTTGTGCTGAGGCAATTGTATGGCCAAGAATTATTAGTGAATTTTAGAAGTACCACTTCATTTTGCTTCACTTTAGTACACTGCTGGATATCTTAATCTCCTAAACTAGATTACTAATTCACATTTGAAATTATGTAAAAGTTATCTTAAATCTCAAATATTTTTTGTTAAAAAATTATAAATTGTTCTATGAATTCAACACTCTAATTTACTTAAGTTTTTTCATACATGTCTACATGAAACATGTGTTAAAATTAACTGAAGTGTTAGGACTTAGATGTGCGCACTTGGAATTTTTTGCCAACAAAATAATTATTATTATTTTTCAACATTCACGTCTACTTTAATAAGCTCAAATACAAAATATAAATTTCATATATCACAAAAAATAAACATCAATCATCAATTTATCAAAATAAAGATAAATCTACCAAACTCATTTACACGCTCTTTTAATTTTTTTCCCATATATATATATAGTTGTGCTCAGTCATATATAACCAACACACATTAGAAATTCCTTGTGTGAGAGAAATATATGTAATGGATTTTAGGTAAATTGAAGGACCAAGATAGGATACTCCACCAATTTCTTACATAGTTACGATATCAATGTCACAGAAATTTCATAGTTTAAAGGAAAATTGTATATAATGACAAATTAATAAATTAAATTAAATATTATAAACGCACTTTGATTTAATAGTGTTTTATAGCAAACTGTTTGTCAGTCACCTTCTCCCTCCATCTCTCGCTCGCTTCCTTTCACTTTTATACAAACACAAGTGTATATAAAATGCGTTTTATTTGTATAAAGCGAGAAAAAATTGTATCTATACATATATTTCGTTCCCATCTCTCCCTTTTTCCAGATCTCGCTCACCACCCTCGCCTCTATCGCTTATACAAACAGAAACGAAATGTATAAATTGCGTTTTTGTTTGTATAGAGCGAGAAAATATTGTATATACACTTGCAAATACAGATATTTTCGTCCTATACACTTATAATTATACAATACAAATATTTCCTTGTCCAATTTTCTTTTATCTTTCTCTCTTTCTCGTTTTATACATACACAAATTATACAATTGACTTGTATACAACTGCTTTCTTTTGTACATGTATAGAGAATTATACAATTAGTTTCTTTATATATGCATAGCGAATTATACGTATTTATTCATGTTTTCTTTAGAGCACAATTATGCAAATTTTGTTATAGCATACAAAAATGAATGTTGTGTTTGTTATATATGATGTTTTGGTTCATAATTTTTTTATTAATATTACTTCCTTCGTTCTATATTAGTTGATCGCTTATACTTTTTTTAATACAAATATTAAGAAATACCAAATGAAAAGATAATTTTTACTAATTCACCTTTTAAAATTCTTCTCGAGAGTTTTACAAGCATATATAAACACTTTAAGAAAGAAAAAAAATAGAGTAGAAAAATATAAATATTACTCTCTTCGTCTATTTTTATTTGTCATACAGCATATTTCAAAAGTTAATTTGAAAAAATCAATCTTACAATGTTAATTAAAATTTTTATAATTTTACTTTAAAAATAAAAAGACGTAAAAATAAAAGGAGTAATAAATTTTTTTAAATTCAGTAAGATAGGACAACTAGAATATGATAGATGCAGATATTATCTTCTTCTCGGGGTTTTGTATTTCTGATAAACCCTAACCATATCAACATCTCGAGCGTTCATTACTCTGCTCGAACCACCAAGGTTAGTGTATCGCCATCTTCTTTCTTTCTCTCATACTGCTTTAGAAAACACACTAATTGCTAGTTTTGCTATCTAAATTCTGCGTAAAACGTTGTTGTTTTCATGTTTTATAATCTCTTCCTTTGCTAATTCTATCAAAAAATTGGGACTCCTCATGGAACCCAAATTTCTTCTTTCCTCAACAACAAGACCGTTCGCTCCAAATGGAGCTTTTCCCTTTTCAGTTTCCCAAAAATCATCTTTTATTCAGAAAACTAGAATTTGTCCAGTGACACATCTGGCTATATCAGCAGAGCATTTTGGAAAGACTCAAATTTTGGGCAAAAGTTTGTCTTTTGGAGTGAAGAATGAATCTATATGTAATTTAAGGAAAACACTGGTAGAGAAGACTCCATTTTTGGGCGAAAGTTTATCTTTTAGAGAAAAGAATGAATCTTCAGGTAATTTGAGGAAGGTGCCCAATTTTTCTATTACAGCAGCTGGTACTGTTAAGAGAAGGAAAGAGCTTCCTTTTGATAATGTGATTCAAAGGGATAAGAAGCTGAAATTGGTTATGAAGATTAGAAAGATTCTAGTGAGTCAGCCTGATAGAATTATGTCGCTTCGTGAATTGGGTAGGTATAGAAGAGCATTGGGTCTAGAGAAGAAAAGGAGATTTATTGCTTTATTGAAGAAATTTCCTGGAGTGTTTGAGATTGCAGAAGAAGGGGCTTACTCACTTAAGTTCAAAATGACACCTGAGGCAGAGAGGCTTTACTTGGAAGAAATGAAGATTAGGAATGAAATGGAGGATTTGTTGGTTATCAAGTTGAGGAAACTATTGATGATGTCTTTGGACAAACGGATTCTGTTGGAGAAGATTGCACATTTGAAGACTGACTTAGGGCTTCCGTTGGAATTTCAGGATACAATCTGCAGGCGATATCCACAATACTTCAAGGTAGTTCCAACTGGACGAGGGCCGGCTCTGGAGTTAACTCACTGGGACCCTGAGCTTGCTGTGTCTGCTGCGCAGATTGCAGAAGAGGAAAATAGGCAAAGAGAGTTGGAAGAGAAGGATTTGATCATTGATAGACCACCAAGGTTCAATAGGGTGAAGTTGCCTAAGGGTCTGAAGCTTTCAAAGGGTGAAATGAGAAAGATTAGTCAGTTTAGAGATATGCCTTACATTTCTCCTTATGAGGATTTTTCTGAAATAAGGCCTGGTACTCCGGACAAAGAAAAACATGCATGTGCTGTGGTTCATGAACTTCTGAGCCTCACAGTCGAGAAAAGGACTCTTGTTGATCACCTTACTCATTTTAGGGAAGAATTTAGATTCTCACAACAGCTAAGAGGCATGCTGATAAGGCATCCTGATATGTTCTATGTCTCTTTGAAGGGGGAGCGAGACTCAGTTTTTCTCCGTGAAGCTTATCAGGATTCACACTTGATAGAAAAGAACAGGTTATTGCTCATCAAGGAAAAGCTTCGCTCCCTCGTTTCCGTTTCAAGATCCCGGAGAATCACTCCACAAACTGATTCTGATGAAACAGAAAAAACTGAGTCCAAATATGGAACTGATGCTGAGGAAGGTGAAGATTGGTCCGACATTGATAACTTAGGGAGTGATGGATTAGATGAAGATTCTGATGAGGACTGGAGTGATGATGGTGATAATATACCTCCAGACTTCAGTGATAATGAAGGTACCGTTAACCTTGAAGAGGGCAAACTGACTACACAAGTTAATGGTGCAAAGAAGAAGGAAAACAAGGTTTTGGACCCAGTTTTTCCAGATGGCCGGCCTCGTGAGCGCTGGTGATAAAAATATAAGTTTGTGCTTGAGATTATTTCATGCACAAAAGACACGGATAAAAGATCTAAAGTTACAAAATCTGTTATTAGCCTATTACAGTCTCACAAGGTTTGTAGTCCCCAGGGTAAAAGGTGCTTCCATTCTTTTCACACCCTGGCTACACATTCTTTTCTCTTAATAGGCCTTGGCTTAGCATCTTTGCATCAGATTTATGGTTTGATGTTGTCGTAAGTGAAATATCTTTACATCACATAGCTCATATAAGCTTCTGCTGGGAGTGGCATGTGAATTCTTAGTTCTGTACTAATCCAGACACTAAAAAAGCTTCATATGTAAGATTGTTTGGCTGATTGTAAAGTGTAGCTTTACATAATAGTACATGGTGTGCATGGATTATTGACTGTGATCTTTTGTGTTGTAATTCAAAACATATAAGCATTTAGCTAGTCTCTAAAAACCTTGCTTAGCTCAGCTGTCCATTTTAAGAATTGATGGCCTATTTGCCTTTAGGGCATTCGTAAAATGACAGAGATAATACATGGCAGGTTGTCTGGTAAGCACACATTACAAGTTCGAGTCCTTTTGTGAACCAAGTTCTAGTATTTAAGTGAGGAAGGGTCGAGACCCTGGTAGCAACTACCTGTTTTATCAACCAAGTCTGGTATTTAAGTGAGGAAGGGTAGAGAGCCTGCACATTAACTATGTTAGATTTTCTGATTATACAATCGAAAAAAGTATTGATGGCATATATTCTTTTGCCATCTCTTTGAAGTAATGTTGTGTTTGTTCTTGTGAGCAAATAGCTGTGGAATAAAATGTCTTCTTCCCTTGATTATAATCTCCAAGTCTACCAAAGTAATATCTGCCACTTGTATCATTATTTGGTTAGTCATTGGTGGATTCTACTCCAAACAATATCAAAGATATGGATTCTAGAATTATCGATTATAATAATTATGTACAAAGTCAATGTTGCAAGGTTTGCTCTATATATTTCTAATCAAACTATGGAACTTACTAATGGTATTTGTGACTCACTGCCAATGTTTCTACTCCATTATTCTTGAGCAACTTTACATGATTTTATTGTTGTTTTGGCTCCTCTGGTAGACTTTTGTACTCTTCTTTTGTTATTTGCTATATTCTCTTTATTGTCTCCTTCTTTAGGCCAGAATTTGTTGCACTTGAGCCGACGGTCTTTTGAAAACAGTCTCTCTACCTTCATGAGGTATTAGTAAGCATTGTGTGCATTCTACCCTGTCCATACCTCACTTGTGGGATTTCTCGCTGGGTATGTTGTTGTGGTATTCTTGAGCA